TATTATACATATAGGTACTACATGTGGACCTCTCTCAAATTTGTTCATTTTCTAATGATATCTTCTGTTCTTTAATTGCCATGTGCATTGCTAACAGCGGAGCTATCTCAGCCGACAGGCTGCTTGTATTAATTCTTTTTTAAAAGTTAATTTCTCATAGTCTATCCACAATCTCAATCAACATTTGACAATGTGTATGTTGGTCACACAAATCCCTAAATTGGGAATGTAACCATAGTGATGTGTTATCCTTGTCGTTTATTACAGGATCCCAAGCTGTACGTTCAGACTATACTGGACGTACATAGGAAATACAATGCACTGGTTCTCTCATCGTTCAACAATGATGCTGGTTTTGTAGCAGCTTTAGACAAGGTCTGTATAGTTCACTTGTCTATACTTTTACTGAAGCCTATCGCACACTGACCTCTATGACGTGATGCGATGTGACTGTCACATCGCAGAAGATGGTGTGCTGTGAGCTTGAGGATAAAATGATATCCCTACCCTATACTATGATCTGCTTGCACTTAAATAACCGGGGCAAGCCATGTGTAGTTTAACTATGTTTATTTACTTAATAGTTTGTCTAAATTGTATGTCTTTATGAATAGTAGTATTTAATCACATTAGATAATCATCACCATTTGTTTTGCAAACTGTAAAACAAAGTTCACTTGGAATTTATTTTTGCTGAAGGGGGAATTGAGTGGAAATAAAATCCAGTGAATATACCTTTTTAGCTCCACTGTTGACTTAGTCGCAAATAATCATTTTACTGATTGTCCATCGCCGCCATCTGTCAGTGTTCATGTCAACTTTTTACTTTTTTGAGTTTTTCTTGAAAACCACAAATCTGATTGCTTTGATACTTGGTGTATATGTCCCTCAGATAGATCTCTCTCAGATTTATTCATTTCGTAATGATATCTTCAATTCTCTAATTTTGAGGAATATTTTTGTCATTTTTAGTAAAAGGTTTAATTTTTGACTTCTTGTTAATAAGAAGTCTGATTACTTTGATATTATACATATAGGTACCTTAAGTGAACCACTCAAATTTTTCATTTTGTGATAATGTTTTCATCTCAAAGAAATATGCATTGCTAACAGCTGTCCTATCTCAGCCAAGAGGATGTTTGTTTCCTATATTTTTCATTCAACTCATCAAAAATAATAATAAATTTTTTCAGCAAAAATAAATTCCAGCTTAAATTAATTATTTTACAGTAGTTTATTGAATCCCCTGTAGAGCTGAGTAATATAACAACTATTGATTTCTAGGCGTGTGGTAAGTTCATCAATAATAATGCAGTGACTAAGGCAGCAAACTCATCCAGTAAATCACCGGAGTTACTCGCCAGGTACTGTGATTCACTGTTAAAGAAGAGTTCAAAGAACCCTGAAGAAGCTGAACTAGAGGATACGTTGAACCAAGTAGTGAGTATTCAATTCTATTGATGATTGAAGTGAGTTTGTGAGTTTTGAGTTACTTTGGTCATTGAACCAAGTAGTGAGTATTCAACTCGATCAGTCATTGAACCAAGTAGTGAGTATTCAATTTGATTTGTCATTCAACTAATTAATGAGTTTTTAGCTCCGCTGTTGACTTTGTCAAGCGGAGCTTATCATATGAGTGATTGTCCGTCTCCGTCGTCGTTCGTGTCATAGTTTTACTTTTTCGACTTCTTCTTGAAAACTACAAGCCTGAATGCTTTGATACTTGGTGTATATGTACCTTGGGTAGACCTCTCTCAGATTTGTTCATTTCATGATGATATCTTCAATTCTCTAATTTTGGTGAATATTTTTGGTAAAAAGTGATATTTTCAACTTCTTGTTAAAAACCGCAAGTCCAATTGCTTTGATATTACATATATAGGTACTACATGTGGACCTCTCTCAGATTTGTTCATTTTGTAATGATATCTTTAATTTTCTAATTTTGGTGAATATTTTTGTCATTTTTGGTAAAAAGTGATATTTTCGACTTCTTGTTAAAAACCACTAGTCCGATTGCTTTGATATTATATTTAATGGTACTACACGTGGACCTCTCTCAGATTTGTTCATTTTGTGATGATATCTTCAATTCTCTAATTTTGGTGAATATTTTTGTCATTTTTGGTAAAAAGTGATATTTTCGGCTTCTTGTTAAAAACCACTAGTCCGATTGCTTTGATATTATATATAAAGGTACTACATGTGGACCTCTCTCAGATTTGTTCATTTTGTAATGATATCTTTAATTCTCTAATTTTGGTGAATATTTTGTCATTTTGGTAAAAAGTGATATTT